CACCCCTTTTTCCTCATGAACGTCACCACCCGTTCCTCGAGCCTTTCAGGGTGATTGAGGTGGATGTACTCCCGAGTGGCCGTTGCTACCTCCGCTCTGCTTACACCGCCCTCCCTGTTCCCTGCAGGGAATGAAGAACCAGGCTCTGTCGGTACCTCTAAGTTGTACTCAACAACGCCCTGTTCGCCCTCCTTACGCCTAACCCTGATCGACTTGGCCCCAAACATACGCAACAGATCGACGTTGTGCTTCTTGGTGTTGGTTTCCGGCACTTTGACTTCCGCGTCAAATCCATGGTGGTATGAGGCGTTGTCAAGAACAAGAATCATCCGTTTGCCTTTGAACTCCGGGATCGCGTTGTACGCAGGGCTAAGGCGGTGTTCAAGCCACTCCATGAACATCGAGTCGGTCATTGCTGCGTGGTAATCGCCCTTTGCCAACTTAGCCTGCCACAGAAACTCTGCTGTCTCCTCATCTTCCATTTCCTTCTTGCCGCTACCCGTTTCCTTGAACCAGCCCTCTTCGATCGGTAACCCATCACAAAGCTTAGCCAACGGCCCCCACTTCGTGATTGCATGCACCATGATCATGCGCAAGCCCTTCCCCGTTGTGCGACCAATCCCATCCTGCACAACTCCATCCTCGTCCGAAGGAAAGTAAGAATAGGGGGAACCATGAGCCTGGTGGACAAAACTCTCATCCATGTGCACGATCACTGCTAACCCAGCATCCTCTGCCCTTCTTGCCATGTCCATCTCAACAAGAAACCGACGAATGCGAGCAAGTCTTTCGGCGTTTAACGATGGCGTTTTGATCCTGCCTCTACGACGCTTGTAGCCGAGCCTACTCAGCAGCCCTCCTGCCGAACGGTTAGACAGCTGCTCCATGTTGCAAGTCCTGTGCATCCATTCTGCCACCGTGCGGCGAAAGACTTGACGACCGGCCTTGTGCTCGTCATTGATGAACTCGCGAAGTTAATCTTCTTGTACTTCGGTGAGGCGGCGTCGCCCATCATCCTGCTTTGCCGTCTTGCCTCTCCCCACGGCGGTGGTCTCGTACAACTGGCGGTGATCCCACCAGTGGTTGTTGATGCGTCTGACCTTGTCGTGGCCGATCTTGAAAGTGTGCGCAACCTGCCAGCATAAGAGAGGTCCAGAGAAGAGAAAAAATTGCAACATCGTTTATGAATAAGGTCAGTTCACTTGGACATTGCACCGAGAGACATCGCACATGCAAGCCTGCTCAGGTACTGTAAAGTACTGCTGTAAAGAACTGCTGTACAACAGTACAATGTATTCCTGCTGAATATTTGTGTGACGTAGACAGGTGAGTCAACCGTGTAACGAACGGCAAAGGCTCGCGCCCGACATAAATGCAACGAAAACACACACACCACACATGAACATACTGCTGTTGGCAGCAAAAATAGGGTGTACACCACATATTCCGGAGTAGTCTATAGATCCAAAAACCAACCGTTACCCCTCTTTGATCAAGATGAATAATTAAAAAAGACATCGGCCTGCTGCTGTGCCACACCATCCGACCTTCACTGCTGTGTACTGACCTGCAACACCGCCTCGTTCTCAGAGCAACCTTCCTTGCGGAGGTCGAAGAGTAGCATGAGGACCATCCTTGACTGCAACTGGGTCCAGACCTCGCCCTTCTTCGGCTTCACCTCGTGCACAGATGTGTCCATGTAGTCCAGGCCCTGAGCAACCTTCTCCGCCGCAGCAGCAGCTGCTGCTTGGACGCGCTCNTGCCACACCATCCGACCTTCACTGCTGTGTACTGACCTGCAACACCGCCTCGTTCTCAGAGCAACCTTCCTTGCGGAGGTCGAAGAGTAGCATGAGGACCATCTTTGACTGCAACTGGGTCCGGACCTCGCCCTTCTTCGGCTTCACCTCGTGCACAGATGTGTCCATGTAGTCCAGGCCCTGAGCAACCTTCTCCGCCGCAGCAGCAGCTGCTGCTTGGACGCGCTCAACCTCCTGCTGCTCACACTTTTCCCGCTGAGCAGCGGCGCGCGCCANNNNGTGCACAGATGTGTCCATGTAGTTCAGGCCCTGAGCAACCTCCTCCGCCGCAGCAGCAGCTGCTGCTTGGACGCGCTCAACCTCCTGCTGCTGCTCACACTTTTCCCGCTGAGCGGCGGCGCGCGCCATTTCTTGCTCCTTCTTGGCGAACGCAGCCTCCTTCGCTCTGAGCTCTTGCTCCCTCTGCGTCATCTCTGCTCTGTCCGCCGCGAGCGCTGCACGTTGCTGCTCGAGCTCAGNGCTCACACTTTTCCCGCTGAGCGGCGGCGCGCGCCATTTCTTGCTCCTTCTTGGCGAACGCAGCCTCCTTCGCTCTGAGC